GAAGGGGCGTGCAAATGCTGGCAGCTCTGATTCTCGGACTGTAATAAAACTTACTAGACTTGAGTGTGATTGATCTCAGGAGTCGGTTTAGGGCATTTGGAAGTGCAATCAATTAGCTAAGCTACAGCCTCCCAGCTGCCCCCTGGCTTCTCTGACACCTCACTTTTAACAGCTTGGTGATGAGAAGCTGGGCTGATGCATAGCATCCCAACACATTTACCCCACTTGGGGGTTATGAACTTCTGCGGGACATTGGTTTGAATGCTCTGCATCAGAATAAATGGAGTCTGAATGCTTAGAAATAAATTGATTTGCAAATTGTCTTTTCCCTTAGCTTCAGTACTTGCTGTTTTTTCATTGTCACTTAAATTTTTCTCATCCTCTTGATATGATGATGGATTCCCATGGCTCTTGGCTTCAGGAATCCAGAAGTGAACCTGTGATTCTGTGCACTGTTGTGTGCAGAACGATGGCCTGTGCTACTTGGATGCTTGAGGAAAGTAATGTCCTTGCTAGCATCCTCTCTCTGGAGCATTATTCTGTCTGTGCAAAGGATCATTCTTGTTATAACATCTCTCAAAGTGATTGAACAAGCGATTTTTTTTCTGTTCTCTGATGCGCTGCTAGATATTCTGAATGCTGATGATGCTGTTCAAAGCAGTTTCAATCTTCTCGTTTCACTGACCCAGTGAGAATGATGTCTTATTGGTAAAGAGGCCAAATCAGTGCCTTCCTGTCTTTTTCTTTCTTTCTTTCTTTCTTTCTTTCTTTCTTTCTTTCTTTCTTTCTTTCTTTCTTCTTTCTTTCTTTTGTGCTGACAATCAGATAGCAGATCCACTGATGAGTTGAGTTCCTAACATATATTTTAACTACAAGGTTGATGTTTTATGAAGCTGCCTACTGTTTATTGTTAAATATTCAACAATGCAGACTATAGCAGTGCTGGATGAAGTAATAGAATTTCTTTTTACTCCAGACTATCCACAGACCTACTTCCAGACATCCTTGTCTTTACTTTAAAGACAAGTTAGGGCTCTTTGAGGGCCCAACAGCCCATCCAAGCCACTGCCCCTAAGTCTGCATATAATTTTCGTCTGGACATTTTCTGTCTGTACTGACTGAATGCTGGCAGTAACCACCAAATAATAAACAATGGCACAATCCTATCAAATGCTTTGCATCACTCTTAATTACATACAGATAATTCTTATTTTATACAATTGTAGTGATAGAAGCTATGATTGTGTCTTCTCTGTGTACAGACCTAGGAAAAACTGCCACTCATGCACTTGTGTGATTTTAGGGTGATGGTGATAGCTGTTGCTTTACAGATGTAACTCATTGATTCCACAGTGTTTGGGTATGAGCTGAGTCTGTGGGTAGGATGGCTGGGCACTAAGAACAATGAGGCCGTTGTCATGACCTGTGCAGATCATTGCTGTTTCTGCTTGGATGAGATGTATAGGTATATCCTCAGAAGTTATCCAGCGGCTTCCCCGTGCATACCTCAACCAGTGCACATCACTGATTTTAAGCATTCATTGAGTAACCATTCTGTAGTGAGGTCACTCACTAGAGGCAAGCTTGCGGGTAGGAAATGTGTCTTGTTCTTCCTCGCAATGTTCACGCTTTTATAGAGCCTTCTGTAGTCAGGTCCTCAGTCTGCATTCACTGAGCGGATGAGCAAATAGGCAAGGGAGTGAATGAACATGAGGGACTTAATGAATTTAGTGAATTTATGAATGGGTGTGTGAATGGACGAATGGGTGAGTGAACCAGCAGGTGTGTGAGTGAGCGAGTAAATGAGTGTCGAAACATGGCCGAAAGAGTGATGCATGGTGAACATCGCCTTGGGGAGCTGAGACAGAGGCTCCAGGAGAAAAGGTCGAGGGCCTTTTTTCTCAAGTTCATTTTGTCTCTTGGTTTGTTCTTGGACATGATCGCATGCCTCCAAGGACACGCTGAGTGCTGTCTTCAGTGTGGCCTGAATCTGGATATGGCCTTCTGCCTTGCTTTCATGCTTTCCCAGATATCATCCTTAGTCCTTGCCATGCAACTGTGCTTAAATTGGTCTGTCCTGAGAAAGTCCTGCGAAAGGGCTGCTTTGCTAATATTTAGTATGCGCGTACAGGTGTTTATTTACATTTTTTTCTGATCATGTTTCTCTGAGCTCAAATAACCTTTCTTGGATCATTGCTTTCTTTGTTACATTCATGTATAAAAGTACACTCTTACTGCAGTTAGATTGTCTGTAGTATTAGACTGCGGTCCCCCCCATTGTTTTTTTTTTTAATTTTTATTAATTACGCTTTATTCACTTGTATCCCCCCATAAGTCCCCCTCTCCTCCCCTCCCGATCCCACCCTCCCCTTTCTTCACGCATGCCCCTCCTTAAGTCCATTGATAGGGGAGGTTTTCCTCTCCTTCCTTCTGATCCTAGTCTATCAGATCTCATCAGGAGTGGCTGCATTGTCACATGTTGATGAAAGTTGACAGGTGAATGAAGAATGAATAGGTGAGTGAGTGAATAGGTGAATGAATGAATAAGTAAGCAAATGAATGCATGAATAAATTAGTGAATAAATAAATAGGCGAGTGGGTAAGGGAGTGAATGACCAGGTGAGTGAGCGAATAAACAGAAAGGCCTTTCATTTGCTTTCTGAAACTAGCAAAAACTTTGATGTTAAAATTGAGCAGAGACATTGCAGGCCTATACTACTTAAAAAAAAATCCATAGGAAGGTCCTAAATGAAAATTTAACAGACTAAATTCAATAGCATATTGAAAAAAAATCATCTACTCTGACCAAAGAGGGTTTTTCTGTAAAAAACCAAGGCAGTTTTCTACTAAGGAAAATGGCGCGGCAGTGTGGGGCTGTACAGTATCACAACCGTTTTGGAAAGCAATCTAGCAATATGCACTCAAGTTAAAAATGTCTATGTCTCATGAGCCAGCTCTCTCACTCCTGGGAACCCGTTCCCCAGAAGCGAGAATGCGAGGATATGAGAATCCTTGTACAAAATGGTCATTGCAGCCTCGCTCCTGGCAAAAGTGGGACTAAATGATTGTGCATCGTCATGTGATTGACTGTGTGACGATACACACATGCATAGTGCCGGACATCCAGGAGAATGACGAGAGCTAGTCAATGCGCTTTTCGAGAGGCAACCGTCACGTGCTGAGAAGCAAAGGGCGTGGAAGCCTGTACCAAAAGATGTCATTTGCCTAAAGAATGAAAACGAATCCCCAAAGTGGAGAATAGAAAAGGGAAGGAAATCCCTGTGCTGCAGCCTTGCTAGTTGGGTGACTTTGGACTTTTACTCATTTTGACTTCAAGTTTTCTCGTTATAGGATGCCAGTGAAGATTAAATGACTTGAAACACGTGAAGTGCCAGGGAATAGAAAATAACTGACAGTTGTGAGTTATTATCGCAGCTATTGTTTGTTGTCATTGACCTGTGTGAAAAAATGCAAAATTCAGGAAAAAAAAACCATGAAAGACACCAGATTGTTAACCTCCTTACGTGTTGTGGGGACAAGGGGCTGACATGAGATGAAGGGCAAGGGTGCCCACGTAAATAGAGAAAAAAGCCTGCACTTCAAAGTTATGAACTGAATTTAAATTCTGGCGCTGGGACTATTATAAAGAAATTCCGTATTCTTAACAGAGCTCTTTATTAGTCAGCGTAAGACATGAATCGACTCTGGAAGGACACCATGGACTTGGTGCACGCGGAAAGGCACGCACTGAAGCTTACCTAACTCTCTGCATGAGGCGCTCAACAGGCCCCTCCCTGTTCTAAACAGTAGCCATTGTCAGGCCTGATGGGAAAACACTACAAAGCGGCTATTGACATGTCTTCTCTGAAATCCTAATTCCACACCAGGCGATAAGGGAGAAACAAAGTGTCCACAGTGCAAAACCTTGGCAACATGTTGGTCACAAGTAGCGCATGCCTGGATCTCAGGGCTGTGAGCCTGGCCCTTTCCCACCTTAGGTTCTAGCAAACGCTGCTTCCTCCGAGGAGCCTGCTGGGCTCATGCCATTCCAGTGTGTCCTCATCCCTCCATTTTGTGCCACGGCACTCCTGCACTGTCAGTTATGACCACGGAGAGAAGTTCACCAGAATGTTGTGGCCTCTTAAAGATTTTTGCCTTTTCAAAGTGCTGGCGTTACTTACATTGCAGTTTAATCAGTTGTCTTCCCTCTGGTAAAAAACATTTTAAAGGCATTTAAAAACTAAGTTTTCCTTTAAAACGAGTCGGTTGCACGGCCATTGCAGCAGAGTCATGATTAGGGAGTTTCTTCTTCATGAACGAGTCGTGGAGAGAAACTGGGTCAAGCTGGGGTCGGGCCTTGTTTCTCGTCCTTGTGGAGGGGACGTGGTGGTGACATGCCCTCTTGTCCTTCCTAGGAAGGGTTGCATGCATGGTTGATGGCATTTTTATGAAGTCTGCCTAGCTTCTCTAATGGAAAGGGCTTGACATCCGCAAGACGGAGTTAGATGGCTATCAAAGGCTGCCTCACACACACACAAACAAGCACACACACAAACAGAAAACAAAACAAAACAAAACCCTCACAGTGCGCCTGAGCCAGCAGTCTTGCGAATAACTAAGCTCCTCTTTTTCCTAGTGTTCAGCATGCTAGCTTCTGTTGGATTCATGGCCGCCCCACCCTCTTTTTGTGTGTGGTGATTGGTAGACATTCCCAAAATGGAATTGCTCCCCTGTTTATGATCTTGGAAAAGAACTGCTGTTCGGCCTTCATCGTTGAGCACTGGTGTTGTGTATGTAAGTTCCCGGCCCTCACTGGCGGCCCTTCGTTTGCCGTGTCGTGCTAGAGCAGTCATGGTCTCTCCGGCTTTCCAGTGCTGCTCCTCTAGCATCCACGCTTAGATAAAACAAAAACCAAAAAAACCCACTTCATTTCTCCCAAAGCTGTAAGCACAGATGGGCTGTTTAACTGTGTTCAAATACTTTCTCCCCCCGCCCCCCAGGTCCTTGCACACATGGAAGACATTAAAGTCCGTGAAATAGAGATCTTTGACTACAGGAAAAAAATCGCTGAATCCGAGACTAAGTTAAAACAGCAACAAAACCTGTATGAAGCTGTGAGATCAGACAGAAACCTGTATAGCAAAAACCTGGTGGAGGCGCAGGTAGGCAATGTGCTTGTGTCTTTACGTTCTGGTTTGTCTCCACACTGGGCTTAAAGTGCTTTCCGTTGTCTGGTGGCAGCGTGAGACAAGTCTAAGAAATCCTGCTCAATCTACCTGGGAACGGGAGTGACACAGCGCAACAGGCCACAGAGAGCACGGCCTCCTTTAACCTGTTACGTAGGATTGCTGCTGCGCTCGGGGTGGCTTTTAAAATGGTTGGTGGTAGCTGCCAAGACTCGGAGCACGGCTGCACATTTTTCTTCTTTCCTTGTAGAACTTGGCTTTGGAATCTCTTTCAAATGACTTTGGTGCCTCTAATTTCCTTAGTCAAAGGATGCAGTGTGCATAGGCGCATGCATGCAAGTTCTCGAGAGTGTGTGTGTGTGTGTGTGTGTATGCTGGCACGTGTGTGCTGCCTGTGGCGCTGTTTATATATTGTGTGTGTTTCATGAGCCTTTTCTGTGCCATTACAACAGGTACTTTGACACTGCCGGGCACAAGAGACAGAGGAATAGCCTAAGTCATATCTGGTCAAGATTTCGTCCGGAGGGCTCTTAAATAAATAAGAACTTCCACATGGAGGAGGATGTCTGCTTGTCTGGCTTTCAAACCTTGCTTCCCTTCTTCCGTCAGGATGAAATCACGGAGATGAAGAGGAAGCTGAAGATCATGACGCACCAGGTGGACCAGCTGAAGGAGGAGATCTCCGCCAAGGAGTCCGCCCTCGTGAAGCTGCACCTGGAGCAGCAGCGCATCGAGAAGGAGAAGGAGACTCTGAAGGTACGGGCTGTGCGCCGGCACCCTGCGGGCAGAGGCAGCTCCCACTCACTGAAAGCATCGAGCGGCAGGGGGAGCCAAGGAGGGCTGCTTATAGTCTCGGTTGCTAATCTCCAGAAGCCAAGCACATCAGGTGCCAGGAGGATTACCTTTGCCATTTCAGCCTCAGCCTCTGCACACGTGCTGGTCCCAGTGGAGCGGAGGAGGGGAGTGGGGAGGGGATGTGCAGCTTCTAGCTCATTTTTGATCACCATGCCTCAGTGGAAGAGAAGCCAGCAGGTTGTTAATGCCCAGGAAGCCCTTGACCTTACAGGCTAGCTACCACCCATTTGCATTCACAACCCATGTTGAGCCCTGTGCTCCTACCCAACATTTCCAGACTCCACTCTGCACTTTTAGCAAGAGGATTGTTGTCTGGTCCTCATCACTGCTCCTTGTGTGCAGGTGACTTTCCTGTCTGCAGTATTGCTGTCTCCTGTGCAGCTTCACAGTCTGACTTCGCATCTGGTGGTCTCAGACATTGGCAGCCTCTCCTTCAGGGAACACCCGTCACCATAGATATTACTAAGGCACACCTGTTTATTGATTTACTTTATTTTCATGATTCTGGGGAATGAACCCAGGCCCTTGTATATTCAAGGCAAACACTCTACTACTGAGCCTTTGATGTTTTGAGACAGGGGTCTTGCTAAGTAGCCCAGGCTGGCCTCACACTCATGAGCCTCCTGCCTGTACTTCTTTAGTTCTGGGATCACAGGCAGGTGTCTCCACATCCTACCAGGTTAGGCCTTTAAGCCTACTAGTTCAGAACACTCTGCATAACTGAGACAATATAGGATAGATTGCCCTTCTACGTCACTTGACCAAAGAACTAAAAAGAGGAACATCTAAGAGAGTGGTGGAGTTTGGATATAAGAAATACATATATACACAACACTTACAGATGCTTAAGATCCACCTGCCCCTTTAAGCAAGTTAGAGACAGAATACCATGGCTTCTGCAAACAGTGGCTTTAAAATGTGCATCCAATATCACACAGTTTCATGACACGTTTTCTTAATTCTAAGATGCTATGGTTTGAAATATGCACTCTTAATTTAACAACGGGCTTGGCACCCTAATGATAGGTTTTCATGGAAATGGAACTGTTGCATTAAATTAATTTAAGGCACATTTGGTTTGAGAAAGATTAAACTATAAAAAAGTGTCTTTATAAAAAGGATTTGGTAATTGATATATTTATCCAGGACTTTCATCTCCATCACTCCAGCTCATGAAAAAGAATGGAAAATTCCTCATTAAAGTTTATTGATATATAAAGAACTTTACAAAATTTAAAAATATCCTGGAGCTTTGTCCTTATCTTTGTTCAAAAGTAATTTAAATGGGGGACAGTTTGTTTTATCCCAGAGTCAGTAGCAGGATGGGGCTTAGTTAGTGTTGAACAAATTAGAAAAAAAATCTCATTATAAACCTTGCTGCACCAGGGGCCTCTTGGACCACATTAGCAAGGCTTCAGTGTAATAAGCCTTGCTAATTGGTGTATCATCTCTTTCTCTTGGAGGATGCATTGATTCTCATCTCTCCTTCCCAAGTGATGCCCGATTCAGAAGCGTCCACAGTGGAGTCTGAGCTGGAACTAAATGCCTACACAGAATCTCACTCTAGAATGAACAGCATCCCATACAAGGGGTCAATTACATCCAATCCTTGGAGTTTGTTGTCAAATAATATCTACTTCAGTGGTGCCCTCCATCATTAGGCATCTACAAGCATAGCACCAGAGAGACATCCTAATAAAACACGGGGCAGTAGGTTGTGAGTTCATGCATCCCCAGGCAAGCAGAGTGGGTAACTAGTAGACACTGGGGTGATTAAAAGGCTTCTGCTCTGGAGGGGAACTCCGAATGGGGAGTCTCAGGTCTGGAAGGCTTTGGTCAGTGCTTCCAGGAAGGTGAGGGTTTGGATGTGCTGTGGAAGTGGGATTAACTAGCTTTTCTTGGTGAGGTAAGCATGAAGAACAGAGAAAGAATGTTTCTTAGCTGAGGCTGTCCAAGGGTGACTTGTCATGGTGCTGTGACTGTGAATAACTCTGGCCCATCGTTAAGCCTGTTTGACATCCCTTAGAACAATCTGACGGCTCACATGTAAAGTTCCAGCCTGTTGACTGCTTTAGACTTAGAATCTGGCTCACATTTCCACACAGGTCTCTGAGTTGCAAGTATCTTCGGTTTGAGAACTAAAACCTCAGAGGAAAGAGCAGATTTTCTGGTAGCTTTGCCCCCACAGATATTTATTTTTTATTCTACAAAACTATGTGGGCACATAATCCCTTTGGAGGAGCACAGCCTGACAGCTCACTGGGTTATGAGATATGTTTTTATAGGACAATCCAGCCCACTACGTCCCAAAGCCTCTGGACAGACCTCTAGACAGACAGTTGTCATAAGCGGCCATCTTCACCCCACTTACTCACTCCCATCATCTACACAGTTTTGCCCTTTGCTCTTCTCTGTTGTCACCAGTCTCTAATGACGAGGGATCATAGACACAGTCAGCGCATCACACCTCTGACAGCATGCCAGCAGATCTCTGTAGACCGGGTTCTATCTGCGTCTCTCTTTTCATTGTGCTGGAGTCTTGCTTCAACCACACTGAAGGGGCGAGCTCAGTTCTAACAAGGCTCTGGATGCTGTCTTTCCTCTTCCCAATCATCCCACATCTGTCTGACAGCATCTTGATTCTCTGTGAACAATGCAGCAGCAAGGTCTCTGCCTCCAGAGCTCACTAGTACATTAAGGACTGCCTCAGGGTACCATATCCTTCCTCTTAGTGATTCTGTCCCAGGACATGAATGGGGAGCTGTCACCCATGGGGGAGGGGTGAAGAAAATGGATAATTATACCTGTGGCTGAAGACTTCAGGTGATTCGTGCATGAGCTCGTGAGACTCTCTGGCTCTTGAGATGCGATTTATGCCCGGAGTCATATTTGATGATAGTAAGTCCATGAACACTGGCTGCAAAATCGTATAAACCTTAAGGTAATTACTGAAGGATGTGTCCAGTCATCTCATTCTAACCGCCTGTCACCTGTGACACATTTGGCAGGTGCAGAAGCTTCAAGCCCAGCGTCAGGATGTTGCCTGATGGGTGCACAGCGGTTGGGGACATAGAGGTGGTTGTCACCCTCCCTGAGAGGCAGCTCAGATTCACAGCTGCTAACTGTATCAGGCCCTAGCTATTTTGTTGATGTTAACACTTGCTGCCAGTGCCGAATGCCACGTCTTGTTTACAGCCCATAAATTTATGACATAAGGAGACCACTCAGAATTCTGATCTATTATGAAAAAAGCACCCAGCAAGGCCAGATGCACGGCTGGTTTTACATTTCAGACAGATACTTTTACACACCGTTGATTGCATTTTAATATAACAAGGGTTTCATTTTGTTCTGCTGACGGATTCTGATCCACTCTTGGCACTTAGGAATAGAGAAGCGAGTGTACAGATATGGGAAAATAAAAGTTTTATGAAGGGAAGCATGAGCCAAACAGGTATTTCATTGCTGTCTTCGCTGTCACCTTAAATGATTATGGAACCAGGAGGAACCGGTTCTTCATGCTTTTTTCTAATAGGCACTCCCCTTGAGTGGTAAACACTAGACTAGATCTTTTCTCAATCAGCTTTTTTTTTTTGCTTATCCCCGAATCAAAACATATTTCATCAATGAACTCACAAAATGTCATCAAAGAAACCCCTGGTTGTACTTAATATGTATCCTGTAATTCTGAGAGCAGTGTCTCTTAGTGCTTGGGAAAACTGCAGTATGATACTTGTGACTCCTGACCTTCATAGGCTAGAATCAGGCCTTGGGGTCAGTTGGGTGCCTTATAAGCTTCCTAATGTCTTGCTAAGCTAGGGTGTGGGGGTCCCAATAGTTTCTTGAAGGAATAAGCAGGGTGAGGGCCATTTGTAGCAAACCACGCCCACACTGGAGACCTAATATCATCCCATCACTACCCTTGTGATTGTAGGCACGGGGGGGGGGGGGAGGAACAACACAGAACTCCTTTCTTCTTTCCCTCATTCCTTTACTCTATGCTAACTGGTCAGTCGTCCTACTTGTCCTTCCTGGCTGGGCATGGAACCTCCCTAGACACACTCCTTTTCTTTAACAAAGGACGCTGCTTCCTTGATGCATACTCTCCCCGTAGTATATTCAGAGGCCCTTCCTAGGCCTGCCCAGCTGTTTGTCTGCCTCTTTTCCTCCTAATCCCAATCTAGCCCTCTAATCCAGCCACATGGGGCACTGTTCTGTCTGCTCAACGCAGCAGATGTTTCAGTTTGCCGGAGCTGGGTTCGCAGGCCCTGACGGTTGGAAGCCTCCCTCCAACACACACTCCTCCAGCTGGGCGTCATATGTCACCTGCCAGGGACTTGACTCTTCTTCTCTGTCAACCCCAAGCAGGCATGTAAGCTCCGTCTTGTGTGCGCTCACGCCCTTTCCTACACCAGCAGATGGCATGGGCACGAGGCTGTTAGCTCTATCAGTCATCTTCAGTGGGTAGTGAATACTGTCTTACTCATTTTTTGTATTTGATTTGTAACTCCTGGATTCAGGCAGTAGACAGAACACAGGTTTCTGCTTTGAAAGATCCTGCTTTGAATATCTAAACATCACTACTTGCTAACTCAGTGAGGTTGGCTAACTTATGTGCTTCCCTTTGTCTCTGCGTGGGACACCCCGTATGATGCCTGGGTTGGTGTAAGCCGCTTGCATGCTGTGCAGCAGATAGTAATGGCTTTGATGGGGGCAGGTGGAAATTTCACTTTCCTGACTTAACAGCTCCTTTCTCCATTTTCCTGTACTTTTCTCCACTGCCTCTAGTTAACCTTGACTCAGGTGTGAGCTCTGGAAGAAAGCATCCCTGAGGTCTATTCACTGACTTCCTGTAATACCAACTAGCTGTCTAAATGATAGAAAAGATACTGGTGTGTGTGTGTGTGTGTGTGTGTGTGTGTGTGTGTGTGTGTGTAGGTGCAGGCTGGGAAGGTAGTCAGGGAAGTGCTTCTTGGGCAAGCATGCTAGTTCAGTCACTAGCACTCATGGACAAAGCTGGGCACAGTGGCACACACATGCAATCCTGGTACTGAGGCGTTAGGAACAGGTGGATTCCTGGGGCTTGCTGGCCAGGTAGTCAAATTGCTGAGCCCTGGGACCCAGTGAGAGAGAGACCACCCATGACACTGGCCTCTGGCTTCCTCACAAATGAGCATTTGCATACACACAAACACACACACACACACACACACACACACACACAGTAAAATAGTAAAAAAAAAAGTAAATAGTAAAAAAGGATACAGAAAATTGTTGGCCAGACTCACCAGTGTTCATATTATTTGCCTACTACTTCCATGTCATACTTTAGCTCTGCACTGGAGACGTCTCAGAATGTCTTTTACACCGCAGCATTCCTTCTGTCCTATCGAGATGTTTTTACAAGAGAGACGCGGAGCTGTTATTTTTGACCAGTTTGATTCACCCTTGAAATGGCCCTTCTCTTAACAGTGCGTGTGCTGGTTGCGGTAGGACCACGAGGGAAGCTGGTCCCTGTAGAGACCTCTGCACGCACACACTCCTCCTGAACTCTTCTTAGTGAATTGTGGCAAGGGTGGGGGAGGCTTGGATTCCAGTGAGGCTTCTTCTACGCTTATACAGAAGAGTGATAGGAGACCCTTAGGGCACAACTTCCAGAACAAACAAGATCGCTGTAATGGGCATTGCCAATTTGCTGGGTCTTAGTGGCTATGTGTACATGCACGCACACACACACATGCACACACGCACGTGTACATGCACACTTTGGGTTGTGATTGTGCTTGAACTCTGTCGAATGCAATATGAGTTGAAAGCATAAGGAGCATGTCCGTGCAGCCAGATCCAGCCACGTGGCCCTGCTGGATGCAGTATGTCTGAACTGTCCACTCTCCGTCAGGCTGAGCTGCAGAAGCTGAGGCAACAAGCCCTGGAGACCAAACGCTTCATCGAGAAGCAGGAGGTAGAGGAGAGGAAGCTCTTGCGCATCATCGCCGAGGCCGACGGGGAGCGGCTGAGGCAGAAGAAGGAATTAGACCAGGTAGAAGCTTCTTGTCACACCCACTAGCAGCTGCGCGTCCTTTGCGCTTTGCAAGCCTTGTTTGAAGATCAGCCATGGAGTCCTGGGCTGACCGTGAAATAATCACCCATTCCATTCCCAGTTATGAGCACTTCTTGTTGTCAGTTATTCTTTCAAGCACAGGGACACACTGGCTAATAAAGCCATAGGCCCTTGTTTCCAGGGACCTTCAGCTCAAATGCAATACTGTTCATATACCACATAGATATCATACATAATAGCTGTTTATAATTACATGATAGAAACTCGAGTGTGGAATCTTGGGATTAGAGATTTTACGGTCTCTCTATGTAGCCCAGGCTGGCCTTTAATTGCTTACCCTCTTGCTTCAGCCTCCTGAGTTTTAGGATTCAGATTACAGGCTTGTGTCAGCATATTCCACTATAAATCAGAAATCCAGCTGCTTTCAGGGTCCTGTCAGGGAGAAGTTGGTCAAGTGTGATATGTAAGAAGTGATGGAACTTGGCATGAGCTTGTGTACCAGAAAAGTGTGCAGATTTAAACATTTTAAAAGCTGGGTTGGTGGCTGCTGGAGCAATGGCTCAGTAGTTAAGAGCACTGGTTAATCTTCCTAGAGGATCAGGGTTCAAGTCCCAGGATCCACACAGCTGTCTCTGCCACTCCAATCCCAGAATATCTGATGCATTTCCCCTCTTTTGGCCTCTGTAGGCACTGCACACACCTGGTACGCAGACAAACATGTAGGAAAACACCTATGTACATAAAATAAATATATTTAAAAAATTATCAAAACAGCTTCAGACCAAGCATTACGGAGTTATCGGACCATGGCTCTGACGACTGGAGGAGTGCCGTGTTGAGTATCTTATGGCATGTTTCCAGCGTCCTGCCCACGGGGCACATGTGAATGGAGTGGGTGCTGCTGTCGTGGTGGAGAGGGAGAGTTCTTTCATCCCAAGTGGCCGTGTCTTTCTAGGTCATCAGTGAGCGAGACATCCTGGGGTCTCAACTGGTTCGGCGCAACGATGAGTTAGCCCTGCTCTATGAGAAGATCAAGATCCAGCAGTCGGTGCTGAACAAGGGGGAGACCCAGTACAACCAGAGGGTGGAAGATATGCGCATCCTCAAACTGGAGATCAAGAAGCTCCGCAGGGAGAAGGGGATCCTTGCCAGGAGTGTGGCTAATGTGGAGGAACTCAGGTAAGAGGGGTCGTGGGGTCTGCGGGAAGCCCCTGCAGATGACTTTGTCTGGGGCTTTGAAGGTTACTATTATTGTTATTATTATTTTAGCAAATTATGCAGAGTAGAGTTCACAAGATGAAAGGATGGTTGCCTGAGGACAACCTTTCCATAAAGCTTCCCCTGTGCTCATGTTGTGTCACAAAGACAGGCTGATCTCTTTCCAGGAGGTGTGGAGGGACAGCAAAAAATGGTTGGTAAAACACCCTTCTGGCTCTTTTGAAAGGAAATTTCAAATCAAAGTGCCAGTGCAACCAGTTAAATTCAGAAGAAAATTTTCCCTCCAATGAGTTCCTTGGGATTTCTTTAATCAGGCAATGCACAAGAGATGAACATCAATATTCAAGTGCTAGCTTGCTAATGTGTGCCCATCTTTTTCTGGCAATAACATATAGGTTGGAAAGAGGTGGAAAATTTAATTCTATTAGTCTTTGAAAAATCTGTTCCCTTAAAAGATGACCAAAGTTTCTACTTGACTTCTGATTCATCCTCTGTGGCTTTCACTTAGCTCACTTTTTTTTTTCCTTTTTCTTTAAATTTTGCATCACACAGGATCTGTTTTACCATATGGGTCATTGCAGGAAACTGAATGAGAGATCTGGCATTTCACTGGTGACTGTCCTTATCCCCCAGTGACTTGCAGAGGTGCAGCTTCTCCTTGGCTGCCTCGGGCAGAGGATACAGTTTGGGTCTGCCTCTTATATTAATTAGAAGAAAGGATGCTTCAGATGTTCAGATGCAGGAGTTGTGAGTGTGCTGCCATCAAAGATGGATCAGTCCTTCAGTTTTTGGACTTGTCTTTCAGATGATGAATGTAGTAATATTCATTCTGGGAAATGTAGAAAAGACACACAGAAGGGGTTAGAAACATTGCCTATAACTTTATTAGTCAGAGAGGCCACCACTGATGCCTCAGAGACAAGGGGCTCATTCTAAGTGGCCGCTGAATGATCTTAAGGGCTGTCAGTACATTTGTCAGCCCTGAGTTATTTTTATGACATACAAAAAGGACCAAATTCCATCCATTCCTAGTCAATATTGCTAGTTTGTTGATAATGGATTTTATTTCCCTTTCCAATGCGAGGGCAGTCTCGCAAAGGATGGGGGAAACATGCTTCCTGTCCACCAGCTGTGTGACCTCGAGCAAATTTGCTAAACGTCCCTGAGGTTTGGATTTGTAATTACTGTTGAAAGTAGAAACAGAGGCAGTGGGTCTCACAGAGTCGTCCCCCCCCCCCAGTCAGTTCTCAAATACGGTAGCTTGTACTTTTGCTTTCTCTTCCAGCGATGCTCTAGAAAAACAAAGTGTTAAAAATATGCTTTTAATTCCAAGCAGCTTGTTCTGCACTCCCTGTTGGGTGAACATCATGCAGTTAATTCTAATGGTTTGTCTTGTTAATGAGGGGAAGTTGTATTATTGGTTTAAATGAAGCAATTAAGTAAAAGAGATGGCTCCGTGTTAGCAATCTGCACACACACAGCAGATGAGGACAGATAGTAACGTCTTTATTACGTGAGTCAAAGCAAGCATTTGTTCCTTCTCCTCCCGACAAAGGTTCTGGTGAATAGAATGACTCAGGATACTGAGGGTGGCCGTGACAGTCTACCTATTAACTGGAGATTCCTGAAGACTTTAGAGACGCCTTGGGAACAGAGATGCCTCAGGGCTTTTTCAGCCCTCTGTGCCTGGTGGCTGTGGGACATAATGTGCTTCCTATGGCACAGCTCCAAACTCAGTATCTCCAAATCTCTTTGCACGTTAGAATTACCTGCAGGGCTTTTCAAAGCTATGAAATGCAGGCCCTGCACCAGACCCCATGGAGCAGAAGGCCTCTGGGAAAGGGGGCCAGGCAAAGGGATGTTGGGGAGGGAGCATGCTGGGTGATTCTAATCTGCAGAGAAGATGAAAGTAGGAGGCTGTCACTGGCGCTGGCGTGCTCGCTGTCAGGTGTAGAGCCTGCAATTTGCAGTGTTCATTTTGACTGCTACTCTGGAGACAGTAGCGCTGCAACACTGAAACACTGAAATGTATCTTGGGACTCTTGTGATTCACTGCCCGACCTGATTCCTTTCATTTGCTTCTAAATTCCCCGAACATTCAGAATCAACATCCTACAGGCTGCTGCTGTTCAGAGCCAAGGCAGTTCCTGAACTCCAGGTGAATCAGCGTCCTTTGTGACCTGCCTAGGTTTAGGAAGCTGGCCTCTCTAAGTGCTAACAAGTTTCCTCAGATTTACAGTGTGTCTGTAGTAATCAATTCATTAACTGCACTCTCCCCAGTGGGATTACAGGTAAGGTCACCATACCCGGTTGGCCTTTACATAGGTTCTAGGGATTCAAACTCTGGTCCTCCTGGTTGCAGGGCAAGTGCTTTACACACTGAGCCATCTCCCCAGCCCTCTGTAGCAAAGATAGCACATTCAAGAGAAGTTCTTTGCAAAATGAAGCTTGTCTTATCCAGGCAGGAGCTTTTCCACATGCAAAGAGAATTCTTGAAGGAAAGGACGAGATGCCGAGCCCTGGAGGAGGAGCTGGAGAACCCCATGAATGTGCACAGATGGAGAAAGCTGGAGGTAATGCCGGCCAGAGCGTCCTTCCTGTCTCCAGACTGCCTCTCCACCCACTCCAGGCTCCTAACCTAAAGCAGGATGAGAAGTTCCCTTTAAGTTAAGATGCACAAATTGTCACCTACAATGGAAGAGTGGATCAAATGTAAATTGGGTTGTTTTAGAACCAGATAGTTAATTTGAGTTTGGTTTTAAAAGCCTTGGACAAAAACCTACCTGTTCCCACAAAAGACCTCTGTGGAGGTCTTGAGGGGTGTGTATTTTGCTTTTTAGGTGCTTTTGAGGTTTGAATTGACTATTAATTGCCTTTAACAACATCTCCCACCAACATTTTAGCCACCTTTCAATTGGGTTTGCTTTCTTCCATTTCCTGTAGGAAATATAGTTTTGTGACCCAGTCTTTTCCAAAGGTCTACATGGTGTTAGCCAAACCCTTTCTCATAGGATCTGGGGTCATAGCCAAAGTCTCACTGGCTTTTTGTTTTATTTTGTGGCTTCCTGCTGGGCATCACTACCAGCTCTGCAAATAACAGTCACAGACAAGCTCTGCTTAGTCAAGACAAAGATGGCCCTCTCCTTTAGCTGTATATAGCAATGTGGGTACTAAAAGGGACTTTGTCTAACTGGCCAATTACAATACTGAGATATATGTCTATGGTACAAGAAAGTTCAGGGTGAAGTGGAAAATCATCCAAATAAGACTTTATTTTTATTTTCTTTTAATGACGAAAGTATTAAAGTTAATGCATTATAAATTGTGTAAACACAAGGCCTGAATTTTAACAACATCTAGGGCTGCCAAGTGAACGTAGGGCCAAATCCTGTCCAGCTATATGGACATCAGCTGGTGCTGGGTAAGCAAAGTCTGAGTCAATGAAATAGCTTCTTTACTCCTGTTCGGTGCCCAAAGTGGTAGAGCTTACTAACCCAGTGATAGGATGGATCTTCCCGGGGAGGGGAGTTAAAGAGCTCCCAGCTGCTTACCATCACACCAGTTTATCCCATGTGTTCTCACATAGATCCTGGACATTTCCAGCTCCGTGCAAGGCTCCCTTTAAAACATTAAGCATTCTGCAAGGTGGCTGAAAAATACCCAGCTGTTAGATTCAAAGTTGTCAGTGTGACCGAAAGCAAAGCTTTGGCTCCAAGTCTGGAGGGAAAATGGTCAGCTTACACCTGTAGCTTTTGTGTGAGTGGAACGCACAAAGCTACTGAGGGGTCACTCAAGCTGTCCAGGTTGAGATTCCAAGTCAGTGCTAAATGCCACAGCTGTGTCCTGCTACCTCCCGATAGCAGATGTCCCACCTTGGAATCCTTCCCCGCTGTGGGCTATGCTGAATCTTCTGGTTGACGCTGGCCAGCGGGGAAGCCCACGGCTGACTGGATTCGGGGAGTTAACTCCTATGGAAACTTGATAAAAACCACAGCCTGTGTGGCACGGCACATCTCAAATCCAGCTTGGACCCTTCCCAGACTTTGCAAATGATTTCTCTGCCTCTAAGGTCTCTTGTCTGTAAAAGGGGAAGACAGATATGGTCCCACAGCTGTCACGTGGCTAAAGTGTGGTTATCACATGGAAAGCACCGGGCATCATGAATGGCTGCATGGTGATTAGGTCTATTCCTTCTGAGGGGACAAACACACTCACCTCCCGTCTATGGTTAATCAGAGCCATAGTGAAGACGGTGGGAACCAGCCTGCTTTTGGGAGCAGTTATTCATGGCTGTGTCGTTTGCTCTGCCTTTTTCCTTTTCAGTTTTAATTCTTTGTGTGCTAGGTCTTCAAGCGGGAAAGGCGCTTTGATAAAACAGCAGTCATCACACACAGAACATGGTCCTTGGAAACTGATGCTGTCTCCCATCATTCTCCCACGACAGGCCAGCGACCCCAGTACCTTTGAGCTGATCCAGAAAATCCACACCCTGCAGAAGCGACTCATCGGCAAGACAGAAGAGGTGGTGGAGAAAGAGCTTCTTTTGCAGGTACCAGTTTCCGGGCCCGTGCCTCCCAAGCAAGCAGGGCAGTCTCCAGGAGCCTTAGAGTTAGTGATTTGCAGCCTTGCACACCTCGTCCTAAACTGTAGATGGCAACAACGACTCACACAAGAAGCACAAACAGCCTAATTAACTGTTCTGTTTCATTCTGCGGCCACAGATAGTTCAGGAACCCGAGAATATTAAGTTCAAGGCTAGACTTACTGCAGTCCAGTAACATGAACACCCCCCCCACTTTTCCTACAGTTCCATTTGTCACATTATTTAACTGCTCTCCTTCCTATCTTCACGTAGTGTGGAGTGCTGGGATTTCAATCTTGAAAACAGTTTTCACGTAGCGGGCAAATGATCTGTCCACAGGAGGGTCTGTGTGGGCGAGCCAGAGAGATGTGTCTGAGGGTGTGATAGGTGTTTGGGGTGGTGTGCACAAAGGTGAGGCTAGAGAAGGATCTAGCATCCTCCCCACAGTCATCTGCCATATTCTCCAGAAACAGGCTTTCCCAGCACATCTCGGTCCTCCTCACTCGACTGCCTGGCATGCAAGCTCCTGTATCCATCCACTGGTCTCACCCCTCCCGATGCTGGGGCTGCAGGCATGCATGGCCTAGCCTGAGTTTTACATGGGTGCTGAGGATTTAAACCTAAGCCCTCACGCCTGGGTGGTAAGAACTCTTACCCCCTGAGCCTTGTCCTTGCCCTGCCTTTGAGGACGTTAGGAAGTGAATCCCGGCATCCAATCGGTCATTGCTGTAGTCAGGCGCTGGAGATTTAAGAATGAGGTAAGCATGCAATGCTGGCATCAGGTGGCCAGAATTGGCATTCTGCTTCTGCCAGCTTGCAGCTATTTGATCATGATTTCTCTGCACCTGGGGTTCTCTGTCTATATTAAGGACAACATTAGAGCTCATTAGGTGCTGTAGGCACCGAAGGACCTTAACACTTCACTCAGTTCATAGTAAATATCATTTCCAAAGCTTGTGACTTTAACTATTTGGGTGACCATTAGGAGGGGCAGGAACTTTTACACATGTGCAAGTGGAGCCTTTTGCTGTTTTCTACTTTGTATTTGTCCCTAGACACGGTTTCGCTAAGGTTGCTGGACAGTGTAGCACCCTGCAATGCAGACATCACCGCCTGGAGCGGGCTTAGTGTTTTCCTCTCCCTGGGAGATGAGCATGGAGATGGAGAAGGCAGGTTCCGGAGCAAGGAAGCACTCATCATAAGAGTTCAATGAATTGAGGAGAGTCACAGACAGTTTTCATTGGTTTCTCCTCCTGCAATGCAGGCTGAGTCGTTCCGGTTCTCATTAAGGGAACGTATCTAACTAGGGGGTCTTTCAGAGGAGCCAATCAGAGCACAGCATCAGGGACTCACCCGCCGCAGTGCACTGCCCCAGCACCGGGCAGCAGGGAAGCAAAGGTTGGTCCTCTGCCCAGCCAGAACCCACACCTGCCTTGGCCTCATGGTCTTGTCTGTTCTGTTGCAATTGCCACTTTGTAAAATTTAAAGAGAATCAATTTTTATGTTGTGTCTAACTCAGGCTTAAATGTGTTTTGTGTTTTATATGGACTTTGCTCTGTACTAAAATGTATACGCACGTGTGCCTGTGTGAGTTTATCTGCACCACATGGGTGCAGGTGCCTGTGGGGCCAGAAAGCTCCGAGAACCTGAAACTCGAGATGCGGGCAGTTATGAGCCCCTGCTGTGGGAGCTGGGATCCAAACCTTGGTCCTCTGCACGAACAGTAGGTGTTCCTACCCACTGAGCCACCTCTCCAGCCCCTGGGCAGTTAACTTTGTTATTTTCTTCCTTCTACACACATCCTTTGGGTCTGCTCTGTACTTCTATCTTATCAAAGTAGATGCACAATCAGGATTCTCTCTTCTCCTTCCCTCTCCCTTCTTCCCATCTCTCTGCTCTTCTCATTTCATCTTTTCTTTTCTCAGTGTTGAGGATTGAACCAGGCTACTGGTTCAATTGAGGCAAGAATTCTGTCACTGAACTATACCCACAACCTTTTATTTTCTGATATAAGCATTTGAGTCCATAAAGTATGTTTTAAGGAACACGTGAGTTTCTTCCCACAGGTTTTTGATGTACATAGTATTTTTACTTAGTTGTAAATCTTTTCTCCTTTAAGAATTATTCCTCGATGCCCTTCCACTGAGGCCCAACAAAGAAACCCAGCTAGGGGAAAGTGATCTAAAAGCAGGCAACAGGGTACACATCAGAGACAGCCCTCTCTCTAATTGCCAGGGGACCTTCATGAAGACCAAGCTGCCCATCAGCCACATATGTGTAGGGGACCTTGATCCAATGAATGCTCTCTGGTTGATGGTTCAGTCTCTCTGAGCCCCATGGTCTTCATTAATTGACTCTGTTGGTCTTCTTGTGGAGTTCTTGTATCCTCTGGTCCACTTAGGCCTGATGTGACTTGATGTGCTGGGGCTGATTCTCAGGAGAAGAGGAGGGACAGGAGGAGGAGGGTGGGAGTGCAGGACTGGGAGGGGGGAAAAGAGGGGCTTTGACAGGGATGCTGGACCCCCTGCTGAGATGTGGCCAATTGGCAACTCAGTTTCATGTGGATCTCTGAGGGAGGGGATCAGGGACTGCTTCTATCATGAGCTCAGTTGACTGCCCTCTTATCACTCACCTTTGATGATGCAGCCTTGCCAGGCCACAGAGGAAGAGGGTCCAAGCAGTCCTGATGAGACTTAACAAGCTATGGGCAGATGGCAATAGTGGAGAACTCTCCCTTTCAGTGGACTAGGGGAAGAGGATGAGGGGAAGAGGGAGAGAGGAGAAGTGGAACTGGGGGAGTTGGGCGAGGGGGCTTTAATTGAGGATATGTAATAAGCAAATTGTGAAGAAAAAATTTATAAAAAAGTAAAGTGAATAATAATAAAAATATTATTTCCCCATTGAGAATAAGTCTGAAGGAGCCCCACCTTTCCTCTCATGAATGAATAGTTCACTTTAAGGTCTTTAGATCCATGCATATTTAGGTTAAACTTCCCTTCTGATCTTTTCCTTTTCACTGATAGCTATAGTAGATATGCTCTTCAGAATCTAAGCGACCATTTAGAAGTAACGGGTCCCTGGGGTTAGAAAAGATACATGCCTTTTACGTGCTCTGAACTCATAGAGATCCACCTGCCTCTGCCTCTCCAGTGCTGGGATTAAAGGCGTGTGCTACCATGCCCAGCATGACTTTTTCTTACCATTTGTTATTTTTAACTTCAAATACATTTTTGGTATGATCATAAGGTGAGCAAAAGGGTGTAATTTTTATTTCTCTCTGGGGGAATTATTTCTTTTATAGTATATGGAAACTCTTCCAAGAATGCTAAAATTCATCTAATATTATTATAGGCCTGTCAGCAGGACTCTTCAAAATTGTATTTTTATATCTTTAAATTTTGGGGAGGAGGTATTTGTATTTTGAGAAAATCTCTTGTAAAATTAAAAAAAAATGTATATTACCTGGCCCTGTTTATTTTTTGGCTGATGCACTGAGTTCATTAGTATTTGATATGGTTCCTTTCTATATTCTTATTTTGCAGCATTTACCCTTGTTTATTTTTAGAATAAGTGTGTGTGTGTGTGTGTGTGTGTGTGTGCGCGCGTGCACAGGCATATGTGAGCTGTGGCATTGTGTGGCAGTCAGGGAGCTGGTTCTGTCCTTCCACTGTGGGATCCATAGATGGTGCTTAGGTCATTTATCTGGGGACCCTTGTGCCTAAATGTGTTTCCTTAAGGCCCCCAGGCAATGTTACTCATTTAGAGTGACATCTTTATGTTAAACTCTCAACTTGGGACTCTCTGGACTGTTAAAAGTTTGGGATCCCAGTCTTGTGACAGGAGGCTGGTAGATTTCCATTCCTAGAGGAACCATGCTTTTTCCAATGAGAGCCCAAGAGAGATGGGTTCCTTGTGGTCTTCCTGGCACAGGTAGGGCATTTCTTCCTATCTTTTTACTTTTGGTCTCATTCTTATGTGAAGGGGTCTTGGTCACAACTCTCCAGTTCACAGAGGCCAGACCCTCACCCTTGTCCTCCTGTGGCCTCTCAAAGCCAGGCCTCTTACTCAGTGAGTGTCCTCTCAAAGGATGGCTGCCATCTGACACTATTCACTACTTCCAGTGCTGGACACCTTTGGATTTTGACATTTGATAAAACCACATGCAGACTTTGTAGCAAACACACGACTTTGTTTAGAGTGTCTCATATTTTGTAAACACCAGAATTCAGGATTTCTAATTATTTGCAGTGTATAGTATGATATGTGGCCATCAGTTTAGATTGTGTTGGTTTGAATGAGAATGTCCCCCATAGGCTCAGGCACTTGAACACTTGGTCTCCAGCTGGTGGCGCTGTTTGGGGTGAGAGGCTTAGGAGATGCAAGAAAGTACGTCACAGGAGTGGCCTTTGAGTGTTTGAAGCTTCTTCCTGCTTCTGGTTTGCTCTCTCTGCTTGCAGTTGAAGATATGATCCTCTAGTTTCCTAGGCCCACCACCAAGCCTGTTGCTTTCTGTCATGTCTGCCATCCACGATAGACTCTTATCCTTCTAGAGCCATAAGTCCAAACAAACGCTTCCTTCTGTAAGTTGCTTTGGTCATGGTTACAGCCAACAGAAAGCTAACTAATACAGAAGTCTTATCTTTTCTTCCTCATCTGTAACTGAGGCAATAGTAACAATCACCACAGTCTTGAGTATACTAATGGATATCCAAGTTGAGAAGAGTGCTCAGTTATCATTAACAATGTCATCATAAACATTGATAATTTTATTAATAATACTGATGTCACCAAGCAGTTTTCATAGACCTCCAAAGTCTCACTTTTTTTAAAGCAATCCCTCATTTAGTCTTTTACAATTGGCTGCTACAAAGTTCCTTAGCAGTCATATAACCCTAGACAACAAGCCTTGCTATGTTGGCAAAGAGTTAAATACTCCAAAGAGTAGTCATTCTCTCAGCTTTATGTGT